TCGAGCAGCAGCCGCAGCTCCTGCACCATCCGCGCCTTGGCCTCGTGGTGGTTGCTGCTGACGTCACCACCACCGGCGCTGCTGACGTCATCGCCGACTACGCTGCTCTCCATGATGATGTAGGCCACCAGGTACTTCTCGCCGCCGGCGTAGTCCGGCTCCCTGGCCACCACGAGGCACTCCTTGACGCTGCGGTGCTGGTAGACGCAGTTCATGATCTCCTCGAGCTCGATCCTATAGCCCCGGATCTTGACCTGGTGGTCGACCCGCCCCAAAAATTCTTCGCATGCCAATGACCACGCGTCAGCATTCCACACACAATCGCGGCGGGTACATTCCACGCACACTCTTGAGGAGCGAGTGGTGTACCGAGCGTGTTGTCGTCGCCGTCCTTGTAGCGCAGCACGTCGCCGACTCGGAACATCTTGTCGCTCGAGTGCGGCAAATATTTGAGCTTGAATGGATTATCTACAAATGACCGTTCCGTCATCTCGGGGTCGACGTACGAACCCACCCCTGGCGCACATCAGACGTAGGATGATCAATCAGCAGAAGAAGACGACGACGACGATCGAGGCTAGGGTGTGCTGCGTACCATCGCCGGCTATGTACAATTCGCCCAGCACACCCGCAGGCACCAGTTGTCGGTAGGCGTCCAAGAGGAAGAACTGGCTGTTGTGCTCCTTACCGCCTAACAACACATTGTCAACACCCACATCAGTCCTGTCTTGTGCCGCACGCACCGCACGCACCGCACGCACCGCACACGCACGCACCGCACACGCATGCACCGCACACGCAGTGGATGAAGACTTACCTACGGGGATGGAGGAGCCCTGGGTGTGTTCGAGAGTGACGCGGAGGGCGGAGGCCCACACGGTGGTCTCCGTGGGGCCGTACATGTTCCACAGGGCGGCGCAACGCGGCAGGAGCTGCCGCGCGAGGTCGCACGTCATGGCCTCGCCGCCGCACCAGATCCGCAGGTGCTCCGCATCGCCCTGCCAGCCCGCCGCACTGTGGGCCGTCAAGTGAGTCGGCCAGTAGTCGACGATCAACGAACACCGCGAGGAGTGCGGGCGGGCGGGCGGCCACGTACCACAGCATGCGCCACGAAGCCGGGGTGGCCTGCATGATGGTGATGGGATCGCGCGCAGCCAGCCTCTCTTCGAGCAGCGTCTTCAGGCGGAAGCCGTCCCTGTGTGTGTGTGTGTGTGTGTGTCGTGGGCCGCGAGTGCGTGGGTGAGTTGTCGTGTTGCAGTGACCAGACGGTCAGGCGCGATGATGCGGTGGCCAAGGGGAGAGAAGGTCGGTGTACCGCTGGATGGCCGAGGACACCATCACGAT